CAACTGAGCCACCCAGGCGCCCTGTTTATTATTTTAGAGAGAGAGAGTACAGGAGGAGGGGCAGAGGGAGAGAGAGAATCTCAAGAAGACTGCGTGCCGAGCGCAGAGCCCATCGTGGGCCTCGGTCCCAGGACCCTGAGATCAGGACCTGAGCCAAAATCAAGAGTCGGACGCTCAACCGACTGAGCCACTCAGGCGCCCCATTCAGTTGATTTTTATGTGCTCTGAAGTTTGAGGACCCCTGTGCTGTGCTCTTCTATAAGCATTATCGTGTTTTAATCTCTGTTAACTTAGAAAGATAGCCAGGATCAGTTAATCATTCTTGTCCTTGGAATACATTACATTTTGGATTCATCTTTATGCTTTCGTCTTTCCTTTAAGATTGTCATGGACTTTAAGCACCCAGATGGTGTCACTGTGCCGGTCATGTTGCCTCGTCGGAGTTTGCTGGTGATGACCGGAGAGTCTAGATACCTCTGGACACATGGGTATGTATCGAAATGACCTTGGTGACAGAATACCTCTTGCTTTGGGAGAGTTCTCATTCTCTCCTGCTTGAGCCACCAGAATTGTGTCCCATGTCTGCACATTGAGGTGTCCAGGTTTCAGCCCCCACGGACATCTGTGCCCTTTTGATGGTAAATAGTAGCCTTTTATTTTGATGAAATTCAAGTTTAATGGAGAGTTGCAAGCATGGTATAATGAACTCCCTTCACCTAGATTTATCAATTGTGAACATTTGACCATGTATTTTATTGTTCTCATATGTTATCATCATTATTATTATTTATGAATCATTTGAGAGTCAGTTGCAGACATCGTGATCCTTTACTCTTATGTCCTTCATTGTATATGTCCTGAGAGCAAGGGTATTCGTATATCAGGGGTTGGCAAACTATGGCTTATTAGCCAAATTCAGCCCTTAGCCTGCTTTGTGCAGCGCTTGAGCCAAGAATGGTTTTTACATTTTTATTTGTATTTTTAAAAATGTGTTTATGATTGCTGTGATTATGATTGTGGTTTTGGTTTTTACATTTTTAAAGAGTTGTAAAAAACAAAAACATCAGAGAATATGTGACAGAAACTATGGCCTTTTCTGCCTAAAATGTTTACTATTTGGCCCTGTTACAGAAAAAGTTTGCCAACCCCTGCGCCACAGAACTGTGGTGCAACTCAAATTCAGAAACATCAGCATTGATAAAATATCCTTAGACAACCCATCTTCAGATTTTGCTAGTCGTACCTCAGTAGTATAGTGCTGTTGAAGACTGCCAGCGGTCTGGGCATGAACGCAGATTTTACCCAGGGACTGTCGCAGTAGGAGAATAGGGACATGAGTAATAGATCTGGGCTGGATCCCAAATACAACAGGAAAAGTCGGGGTAGACAGCCGAGGAGCTGGGCGTGGGGCAGTGCCGGCGGCTGGAAGAATCCCAGTGGAAGCGTAGCGATGGGGCGGGGTTGGGAGGGGTGGCTTCTGCCAAGGACCATAGGATTCCTGCTGGGTAGACGTCAGCTGGGGGACAGCTGGGCAGTGAGGAGTTTGGTCGGTTGTCAAGGAGGATCAGATGTGGGTAGTGGGGGATTCTGGTTAACCCGACTCAGTGGGATTCTTGCTAAAGTGGGGCTCTTGACGGACATGCCCCAGGATGGGGCGAGTTGGGCTCAGGGGGGTCAGACTAAAGTTTGGTCAAGCAGATAATCTTCGTTAGTGGTTTGTAGTACACTCCCCTCCGACCCAGGACTCCGTCTGTGACACTGATTAGTTGTCAGTTCTCTTCAGTCATCTTTACCTGGAAACAATTCCTCAGCTTCTCTTTGTCTTTCTGGACGGCCTTTTTAAGGGGACCAGTTGTTTTATAGAATGGCCCTCAATTGGAGTTTGTTTGATGGAATCTAATCTCAAAGAAATGGGTTACGCACCTTCGGCAAGAGCATAGCTTTAGCCTTTAGAGGAGAAACATCGAACATGGAACTGCTGAAACTTACCTGCAGTCTACCGAACACACTGCTGAGTCCTGTGCTTACTAACAGTGTCCTGTCTGGGGATTTTGACTGATGCATTTAAGAAATCAAGGAAATGAACATGTGAATGATTCGATAACGCGTCCTGAATGTGAGCCATAAAAACAGATGGTCTGATTCTGTGCAGTGAGGCTTAAAGTTACCTGATTTTTTTCCATGGCCTCTCAAATATTTTCACTTACAGTAAATGAAAATGGTGAGGCAATCCAGTGGTTTCAGGTATTTCTAGAATTGAGAATATTCACATTTTCTTAAGTTTAAGCATTTTTACTATCGGTACATTTAAACTCAAGAGTACACTTAAACTTAAGAGGCAGACAGACGCTTCACTGGCCGAGCCACCCAGTTGCCCCCGATCACATTATTTTCTTGTTCAAAGAATATTGTGTGGGGACGCCTGGCTGGCTCAGTCAGTGGAACGTGTGACTCTTGATCTTGAGGTTGTGAGTTCGAGCCCCACATCAGAGGTGAAGTTTACTTTAAAAAAAAAAAAAGGTTGATAAACTCTGCCCTGTATAGTTAATTCCAGACTCCTTTTTTTCTTTTTTAAAGATTTTTATTCATTTATTTAACAGCAATAGAGAGCACAAGTAGGCAGAGTGGCAGGCAGAGGGAGAGGGAGAAGAAGGCTCTCTGCCGAGCAGGGAGCCAGTTGTGGGGCTAATTCCAAACTCTTATTTCGGTCTAGTTCAGACTCACTGTTGTAGCCGCCATACCTTAAATCAGAAATGGCAGCACCTGAGCCAAATCCAGCAGTCAGGCGGGGGCAGTGGTGGTCCCTGTGACAGCATTTTTATAACTTGCCTACATGTAAAAATCAGGAGCTTTCACCTAAAACATCTGAATCTTCAGTCTCTTTTGAAAATTGGGCGGTGTGACAGCACTGGGCCCGTGGAGGCCTGGGCCCTGGCATTGGAGACGGTGTGCGGCCTTCTGTAGGTGAGGCCTGCGTTCTCAGGCTCTCTGCAGTCCCCACCACGGTCTGTGGTGTCCAGGCTAAGGCTGAGCACCAGCTGTCGTGTGTCACTGCTTGCACTGTCGTGTTCGTGCCGGCACAGAGCTGCTTGACAGTGGAGTAAATCTTGTCTGCATTACAAGTGGCGAATGGGCAGCTGGAACGAGTGGGCAAGTGTTTTAAGAAAAGTGGAATACAACACTGTTTTTTTGAAACGAAACCCTTCATATGTGTTTAGCAGCAAACTGTGTTTCTAGACAAACCCACGTGCTTCCCTCCTTGAGGTTATTCGACTGGCTTGGCAGGCATTTATTTATAAGTTTATTTGACTCTCCTTTTAAATTACTTTTGGAGCATTTTCTTTCTGGGCCTTGTTCTCAAAGTTTTACACAATTAGCTCACTTAACTCCTGCAAGTCACAGTGGAAAGTTTGTTACGTGGTTTTGTCCCCATTTTTAAAGGAAATTGGAGCATAAAGAGGTTATATAACTTGTACAAAGTCACAAAACCATTAAGTGGCAGAGCCAAGATGAGAAGCCAGGCAGTCTGGCCTCAGGATCTGTGTCCTTAACTGTGTTGTTCCTGCTGGACTTGATTGCTCCCTCTCCTCCAGATTTATGCTGTCCCCTCTGGCCTTTACTCTTGCGCCAGCCCTCAGTGCAATAAATTTCCTTTTCCTTTGTCTTTAACATAGAGCTCAGCTCTTAGGTCCTTTATAATGTATAAAACTTTTTCTGGGTACGTTAGCCTGAAATAATTTCTCCCTTAAACTCCTAGAGATTGTATTGTCTTCTGCTACCTTGAGATGTCTCTTCTATCGAACTATTATTTAAATCTAAAAAATGTTTTTATCCTTTTATTTGATATTTTTTCGACTAGATCATAAGTTTGAGTAAGGAGGAAAAAAAGATGTTCAGTAATGTTTAAAGAATTCATTAATCTTAACCTATGGATTACCTATTCCTAAAAATCTGAGATTGGTGCCAAAAGCTGTTAAGTACTGCTTGGCCTTTGTCTAAGATTTAATTATAGGCAAGTAAAATAATTGACTTAAAAGAACTGTGATAGAGAACTACTTGGTTCTCAAAAGGGAATTTTATTTGCTAATAAGAGTTTCAAGATACTCATTGTTCTGAAATATCTTGACTTTGTTTAATACCATAGTTTTACTCATTTTCTGCTATCAGGGTAACAATCATAGATCCAGGCAATGTTTGTTTGCTTTTTACTTCTAAAAAATTGCCTTTGGTGCAAGCTCTTTTAAAAGAGCCACTCTCCTTACGTGTTTTATGAGACCAGCAAACATGTCAAAGACATTACAATAAGAGAAAATTACAGACCAATATCTCTCATAACAGAGGTGAAAAAACATCCCTAGCAAAATAGGACAAAATCCAGTTGTACGATATATAAAAAAGAAAGTACATCATGACCAAGTAGAGTTTATCCCAGGACTGCAAGATTGACTTAACATTTTGAAACCAAACCGTGTAATTCATGACATAAAAAGAACAAAGGCAAAAAAAATAATCATCTTGATTGATACAAAAAATGTATTTGACAGAATTCAGCATCCATTCATGACAAAAACTTGGCAAACTAGGACAAGAAGGAAACTTCTTCAATCTGATAAAGGGCATCTGTGAGAAACCCATAACTGACACCGTATTTAATGGTGAAATAGTGAATGCCTTTTCCGAAGATACTCAACAGGGCAGGGATGTCTGCTCTCACCACCTCTCCTTAATATTACAGTGGGTGTTTTACATAGTATAACAAGTCAAGAAAAAGAAATAAAAATCATACGGATTTGAAAGGAAGAAGTAAAACTCTTTATGATTGTGGATGTAGAAAATCCTAGGAAATCTACTAAACAAGTGCTAGAACTAAAAAATGAATATAGCAAGGTTGTAGCCTACTAGGTCAATATTCAAAAATTAGTTTTTAGAAAATGAAATAAAATGCTTTTTAAAATATACATACCACAGGGGCGCCTGGGTGGCTCAGTTGGTTAAGCGACTGCCTTCGGCTCAGGTCATGATCCTGGAGTCCTGGGATCGAGTCCCGCATCGGGCTCCCTGCTCAGCGGGGAGTCTGCTTCTCCCTCTGACCCTCCTCCCTCTTGTGCTCTCTATCTCTCATTCTCTCTCTCTCAAATAAATAAATAAAATCTTTAAAAAAATAAAAAATAAAAAAAATAAAATATACATACCACAGTGTCTTTCTTCATTCATCCATTGATGGACACTTAGGTTGTTTCCATGTCTTGGCTGTTGTAAATGATGCTACGGTGACCATGACATGCAGATATCTTTTCAAGTTAGTGTTTTTATTTCCTTTGGATAGAGATCCAGTAGTGGAATTGCTGGATCACAGGGCAGTTCTGTTTTTAATTTTTGAGGAACCTCCATACTCTTTTCCATAGTGGCTGGACAAACGACATTAACACCAGCAGTGCCCAGGGGTTTCCTTTTCTCTACACCCTTGCCAGCACTTGTGATTTTTTTTATCTTTTTGATCATAGCCATTGCAGCAGGTATGAGGTGATACCTCATTGTGGTTTTGATTTCTATTCCCCTGATTAGTGATATGGAACACATTTTCATGTACCTGTTGACCATCTGTATGTCTTCTTTGGAAAAATGTCTGTTCAGATCCTCTGCCCATTTTTTAAATGGTTTGTTTTTTGCTGTTGAGTTGTAGGAGTTCTTTATATGTTTTAGGTATTAACCCCTTACCAGATATGTAATATAAAATATTTTTTCTCATTCTGTAAGTGGCCATTTCATTTTATTGATGATTTCCTTCACTGTACAAAAGGTTTTCAGCTTGATGTAGTCCCACTTGTTTATTTTTGCTTTTGTTGCCTTTTGGGAATTCTGATTCTAACAACAGACTGAAGAAATAGTATAACAATGACAAAATGAAAATTGAGAACTGAAATACATTATACTTTTTCACTTTAGGATCAAATCCATTTTAATTATATGGTTGAACTTTCTCTTTTTTAGATGTGTAGAAAAAACTTACCTGGCTCCTACTAAAGGGGAATCAACAACTTAAATATACAATTATGCTTTTTAATAATTTGCTGAGATCTTTCAGGCTTAGCACATTCCCTCTGAATATAAAACCCAACTCTATAGGAGGTAAATTAGCTAGGGTATATCAAGCAGAAAACTTAGACTCAGAAGATTTAAATCCTTAGGAATAAATTTAACAAAAGGTACGCAACACATAATACATTGAAAATCATGAAACACTGTTGAGAGAAATTAAAGGAGATGAAAATGAATGAAGAGGTAGAGATGCCGAGATCAGGGAGAGGAAACTTAATATTGTTAAGATATCAATTGTCCCAAGTTGATCTACTGTTTCAGTGTAATTCCAATTAGAAATCTTAAGACTTTTTTATAGAAATTGCTGAGCAGATTCTAAAATTTATAGGGAAATGTGAAGGATCTAGTATAATCAAAAAAGTCTTGAAGCAGAAGAACAGTGTTGGAGGATTTATTCTACCTGGTTTTTAAAATTTACTAAAGCTACATAATCAAAAAAGTGTATGGGATGCCCAGGTGGCTCAGTCGGTTAAATGTCTGACTCTTGATCTTAGCTCAGGTCTTGATCTCAGGGTGGTGAGTTCAGGCTCCACGTTAGGCTCCATGCTGGATGTGGAGCCTACTTGAAAAAAAAGGAGAAAAGAATGTAGTGTTGGTGTATAGATAGATAGACCAGTGGGGCAGAATATATCCACATATATAAGGTCAGTTGATTTTTTTTTTTTTTTAATTTGACAGAAGAGAGCGAGCACAAGCAGTGGGTGCAGCAGGCAGAGGGGGAAGCAGACTCCCCGCTGAGCAGGGAGCCTGATGCGGGGCTCCATCCCAGGGCCCTGGGATCATGACCTGAGCCGAAGGCAGACGCTTAACTGACTGAGGCACCCAGGCACCTCAAGGTCAGTTGAGTTTTGACAAAGACACCAATGCAATTCAGCGTGGAAAGGAAATTTATAAACAGATGATGCTGGAACAATTGAATGTCCGTGTCTGCCTCACAGCATTTACAAAGGGTAATATGAGGTAGATCATAGATTTTTTTCAAAGATTTATTTTGAGAGAGAGCGTGAACATGAGCAAGCTGGGGGAGGGGCAGAGGGCCAGGGAGAGGAAGAGCGAGAATCCCAAGCAGACTCTCCACTGAGCGCGGAGCCTGACCTGGGGCTCGATCTCACAACCCCGAGATCGTGACCTGAGCCAAAATTAAGAGTTGGACGCTTAACCGACGAAGCCACCCAGGCGCCCCAAGGTAGAACATAGATTTAAATGTAAAAGTGAAACTTGTAAAACATCTAGAAGAAAATACAAGAGAATATTTTCGCAACCTTGGGGTAGGCAAAGTTTTTTAAAGAAAGATTTTAGAACACACTAGAAAAGAAAAAAAGATTAACTGCATCAAAATTAAAAACTTACTTGTCAAAAAATATCATTAAAAAAATGAAAAGGCGTGCCACACATGGGCAGAAAATATCCAGAATACACATATCTAACAAAGGTTTGGGCTTAAGATTTGAACAGATCCTTCACCAAAAAAAGTATCAATGAATGGCTAATGAGTGCACAAAAAAATATACAGCATCATTAGTAATCAGAGAAATGCAAATTAAAACCACAGTTTCAGGGGCGCCTGGGTGGCTCAGTTGGTAAAGCATCCAACTCTTGGTTTTGGCTCAGGTCATGATCCCATGGGTCCTGAGATAGGGCTGCAGGGTCAGTGGGCAGTCGGCTTGAAGATTCTCTCCCTCTGCCCCTCGCTGCATGTGCGACATGCACCTTCACTGTCTCTCAAATAAATAAATAAATCTTAAAAAAAAAAAACCACCACAATTTCATACCACTTGCCACTCACTAAAATGACTAAAATTAAAAACTCAGGTAATACCAAGTATAAGAATGTCAGGCAGCCTGGAACTGTTCCATTATCTGTTGTTTTCTGATGTTGATGTCCTTGACCCTCAACTAGATTCCCTTACTAAGAAAGATGTATTCAAAGCTACAATGATAATTATGTATTTGTCTATTTCTCCTGTTATTTTTTGTTCACTTTTTGCTTTATGTATTTTGAGGCTGTGTTATTCGTTAGATGCATACAAATATACGTGGTTTTTATATATTCCTGTTCTATTGACACTGTTGTTACTATGAAATGTCCCTTTTCGGGGCACCTGAGTGGCTCAATTGGTTAGGCATCGGACTCTTGATCTTAGGGTCATGAGTTCAAGCCCCACGATGGGCTCCACGCTGGGTGTGGAGCCTACATAAAAAAATGAATAAATAAAATAAAAAAAGAAATGTCCCTTTTAATTTAGTAATATTTATTCCTTTGAAGCCTACTTTGATTAGGATAGCTATACCACTTTTCTTTTGGTTTTGCTTGGAATATGTAAAATACTTATCTTCTGTATTATCTTTTTTTTTTAAGATTTTATTTATTTGAGAGAGAGAGACAGAGATAGTGACAGAGATAGCAAGAGAGAGCACAGCAGGGAGGAGAGGGAGGAGCAGGCTCCCCGTCGAGCAGGGAGCCTGACGCAGGGCTCGATCCCAGGATCTCAGGTCATGACCCGAGCCAAAGGCAGACGCTCAACTGACTGAGCCACTCAGGTGCCCCTTTATCTTTTTTTCTATCTTGATTTCCAGCCATTCTATGTCCTTATTTTAAGGTGGGTATCTCTTGTAATCAGCATATAATTGGACTTTATTTTTTTAAGCCATTCTGACATTCTTTTTTCTTTAATTGGACGTTGTAGTCTTTTTACATTTGATGTAATTATTGATTGGATTTAAGTTTACTGTTTATGTGTTTCCTCTTTGCTCCATCTGTTCCTTATTTTTTTTCTCTTTCTCAGAATTGTATTAATTAAATATTTGTGGGCACCTGGCTGGCTCAGTCAGAGGAGCATGCCACTCTTGATCTTGGGGTTGTGAGTTCAAGCCCCGCATTGGGTGTAGAGATTACTTAAAATCTTAAAAAAAATTAAATATTTGTTATTCTATTTGTATTTTTGAATAATTTGTTAGTGTACATTCTTTTAATATGATTACCTTGAAGATAGCTTCTTAAAAAAAAGAGACTTCTATTTCTAAATTGCTTAACAATTTGGGGAATCCAGTAGATATTTGGCATAAATTCTTCTAAATTTGCTTTGTTCCCTTGATATTTTTAAAAGGACATGAAATATTTTTTTGAATACAGTATTAAATAAATTATTTTGACTGTCGTTTTTAGAATCACACCCAGAAAATTTGATACTGTTCAAGCATCCAAGGGTCACAGAAGTGGGATTATCACCAGTGATGCTGGAGACTTAACTTTAAGCAAGAGGAGAATAAGGACATCATTTACATTTAGGAAAGTGAGGCAAACACCTTGTAATTGTAGTAAGTATGTAATTTTGGTTCCACTGTAAAATGGAGTAAATCTAGTGTAAAAGTCTTTTAAAGTCCCATCAGAACCAAGGAGAGCTTTGTCTTAACCCTAATGGCATTTCTCATACTCTGGCGTAGCACTGTACTTAATGGAGATTTTTCTTAACCGCCGCCATTGAGTTTATATTCCTTGAAAGCAGGGACTGCATTTTATTCATCTTTATTTTCCCAAATATAGTACTTAGGCATATATGGATGCCAAATAAACATTTTTTTAAATTGAAGTCACAGTAAAGAGTGCTAAATAAAATTATAGGACGTTAAAATATCATTTGTACAAAAATAGGTTCTATTGGAAACAGCTTGTCAAGTTTCTAAATTACTTCTCATTAACCTAACGAGGAAGTTAGAGATGAACCAATTGCTGCATAGTAAGTAGATATCTCCAGGGGGATAAACAGTGGTTTGTGTTTTGGTCAATTTGGAAATCTAGGAGGGAATAAGAGAAATGCTCAAAAACTTGTCAAGAGGATGTTATTTTGAATTGTCTATACAAAGTACATCATAACCTGTATTTCTTGGACTCATTGAATAAAAATCTCTTTCATTTTGTAAATAGTATCTGTTGTTAAACTTGAAATTGCTATATTTGATATCTTTTTTTTGCTAAATCTGATATCTTGATGTTAGTGAAGCTTAAAACAGACTTTTGTTTCTTTTGCTAAAAGTGTCATTGAGGCCTTGAAACATCAAATTTTTTATCAATTAAAAAAAGTGTATTTTGTATTTGTTGAGTGTCTGACACTGTAGTTTTACAAGATAATGAAAACTACAGCACGACTCCTGTTCTTGAGGAACCTGAGGTCTAGTTGGAGAGACAACCTAGTTTTCTTCTACAGAGGTTTCTTTGTTGCGGATGTTAATTGAATGTAAGGCATATTATAGCAGCTCTGAATGTATATTCAGTTTACAAATGTTTTTCACGTTCAAGGCCATCTTTTTGGATACTCTTGGTCAAAATTTGTGACTTTTTAAGGAGAAGGGTTGCCTCTCTAGATTACTTAGCTGTTTATAATTTCTAAGAGGACCAGTTTAGGGTCACTGTAGTGTATGTGGTAGTGTAATCCTGATGTGCCCAAGATACGAGGTAACCCGTCTGTTGTCACCTGCACGTGTTGGAGCCATCGGGCTTTCTTAAATGTCCGCATGAAATGTTTAGAGCTGCCCTTCACACAGTAGCAGAGACTAGCTGTCTCCCACCCCTTTCTCAAGGTTCGGCACCCTCTGATGAGAGTTAGGGAGAATCCCCAAAGCCGTGAACGCTGCAGCCCATTTCTGAGCTGCCACATGATTTCTCGTTACTGCTCTGCCCTCACTGTGGCTTCTCTGGAACACCGCTCCTTCCTCCTGTACTTCCTGCAGTAAAAAGATGCGTCTCCTAGACTTCGGCCGGAGATAAAGGAAGATTATAGCATAGCAGGGAACAGGCAAGGATTTAAAATGAGTGTTAGACATGGTTGCAGGGAACAGGGAACAACTTCAGAATTCATTTAATTAGGATGTTGATTAGGATAGCAGTGTATCCTCAACTTCCTTTGTCATCTCCTTGACTTGATGGTGTTCTCCTTCGGGCGTGCGGATTCTGTTGAAGGAGGCGATGCCTGTAGTCACTGAGATTATGGGCTCTCGAGTCCCCACTGGCTGGGTGCAAGTCCTGGCTCTGGGACTTACCATCTTTGTCACTTCAGGATCGTTACTTAGCATTCTGTGCTTCATGTCCTCATCTGTAAAATGGACGCAGTAGTACCATCTCAAGATGTTATTGTGAGAATTGAGACCATCCGTATAAACTCCTTCAGTAGTGTTCATTAAATGCTTGTGATCATAACCAAATGACACTTTCTCCTAGGTCTTGTTTTTCCAAGAGTGCTAGGGCCCCAGAACTCCTGTTTCCTTTGCTCACCAAGAGAAAAACCCTAACTCCTATTAATTCAACTAAATTTCTTCTGGTTAGGCCAGGCCCATCAAGATGCTTTCCTACATAAAAGGACCCTTAATCCCAGGATGAACTAGGCATCTGCATTATCAGGCTTGCAGAATTGCAGTTCATGTCTTGTTGCAGATGGATTTTTCCCCTTTTTTTCATTTAGACCCCTCACACATGTACTTGGACTTGTTAGGTAAGAGCTATTTTTAAACTGATAATCAGAGCCTGCTCATCCCTAGCCACCAAATTTGCATTGATTTGCTTGTTCTTTTAAGAAAACATGATACCTTATGAATCACTTGGATAAAAATAAATGGTTTATATTGCCTTATTTTTCATTAGGTTACCCTTTGGTCTGTGACAGCCAGATGAAGGAGACCCCCCCGTCCTTTCCAGAGAGTGCCAGAGAAGCCTCACAGCTGGAGCGAGAATACGTCCATCGAGTCTATGAAGAGATTGCTGAGCACTTCAGCAGCACGAGACACACCCCATGGCCACGCGTCGTGGACTTCTTGAAATCTTTGCCAAGTGGTTCGTTAGTGGCCGATGTTGGCTGTGGAAACGGAAAGTATCTTGGCATCAATAAGGAGTTATATATGGCAAGTCATTGTTGCTTCTGGCTCTCTTTTGGCTTTATTTGTTAGGTTATTGTCACCTTCTGCCTTATGGTATAATGCTGTTTTTTAAAAGGTCATTATAAAAGTTATAACCAACAGATGGAAAATTAATGAGCACTCCTATTCTTTTTTTATTCCCCTGAGAATTTGTGGGCATGCATGCCATTATTTGTAGTATATGTGTGTGGTTTTTTCCCCTTCCCTTTAGATTGTGCTTATTTTATCAGTAAAACTGTCTTATATTTATTAAACTCTTTACAGGTCAGAAAGGATGTTTAGAGAAGCCACTTTCTTTGCTTAGATCCTCCTAAGTATGAGAAAGTTAAAGCTGATATTTTCATCTGTCTCTTATAAATGAAGCAACCGAGACTCACAGACTGTGTTACTACCCCAATGTCATATAATTAGGGGACATAACTGAAACTTGAACCCATGCCTCTGATGCCAAATATAGTGTTCTTTTATTCACAGTAGGAAAAAATAAAAGTTACTATTTATTGGTGTCTTACTGTTCAGGAAACTAGGGCTTAAGTAGCTTAAAACAAGTGACCGAGGTTACAGCGCGAGGCCCAGGATCTGAACCCACTACTTTATCGTGCCAAATTTGTTTCCAGTTGCTATGATTTCCTTTCCTGCGGTTCACCTTTTTTCCTGCCGTGCTGGGAAGGAGAACATTCTCCCTACACTGGTGCATTATCGTAAATACCCATATCAACGCTGCTCTTGGGAGGACTGAAACTTCCCTTTCTCAAGATTAGGGGCAGGAGGACTAGAGTAAGGAGGGCAGGTAGGGGCAGCGAGAGCAGTCCACACTCACAGGCTCCTGGAGGACGTCGTGCAGCGCATCCTCTGTATCTTTACCTCCGCCTCGATAGCACGCACCTGCATGGGGAAAGTAAGTTATGCTGCACTTGAGGAAAGGCAGGGTTCATGCATTAACAGAAACATAAAAGCATAGCTTTTCATCAAGATAAGATATTAGTATCCATGTATTGTCATCATGTTTACAGTTAAATTTTAGTTTATCAAGAATAGGGTCTAATGAGTTAGGTTTGTTCATGTGGAAGAAGAAGTAGGTTTTGATGTGCCACTTAAAATCAAAGTGTCATCTACTGATATTTTAGTCTTAAGGTATTGGCCAAAACGTCTCTCAGTGAGCTCTGCTCTCGCACCTTCTTGATGCTAACCCACAGCTGTACGGAGTCAGGCAGCACCCATGACAGCGAAGCGAGGTGGAGGCCAACCACGCGGACGTAGTCTTACTGATCGCGTTATCCTGTTAAAATTGAGAAACATGATTTCCTGGTAAACTGAGCCCAAATATCTGAATCTGTTCAAGAAGGAATACATTTAAAAGAATTAGAAAATCACAAGTATAGTCACTTTCCACTATTTATATTCATTTTATGGTTGGCAGTTTGTGATTCGCAGTCTGACCTCTCGGGAAAGCTCAGTAAGTTTTGGTTCGATGCAGGAATGAAGACGCCCTTGTCCGGCTGGAGTTATGGTTGTCATTATACCAGAAATGGAGTCACATATGGTCGAAGGAAGCTGCTAGAGCTCCAACCTGTATGTTTGAGTGTATTTTCAGCAGCTGTCTTTGAGCCTGAAAATACGTGCATTTTTTGATATTCATGAGGGAATGTGACCTGGGACATTCATTCTAGGTATTCACACCTAGGATTGTCTTAGAATTAAAAAACAAGTTTATATTATTATTACGTGCTTCCTTAACAAAATGTATTTTTGAAATACTACCAGGATGAGAGGTTGTGTCCAGCCTTTGTTCCATGCAGTCGCAATAACATTTGCAGAGTGAAGTGTTTAATACACATCATTTATTTGGTTCTCATCTCATCCCCGAGAAGTAGGCATTTTCATGACGAGGAAACAGAAGTTAAGTGGCTTTCCTAGGTTGTTCAGCTAGTTCAGCTCGGGACTTGAGGTTGCTGTTTTCACTGTAGTTGACAGGCTCTGCCTTTTCCCTTGCGCTGTGAACCCCTTACTGCCATTCTCATCTCCCTATAGTGCTCTTTCCTTAGTAGCTTAAAAAATGTGGTATTTTTTAAGTAATAATAATACAGCCACAATTCAGAAAATGGACAAAAGGAAAGGTGTTTGCCTGTAATCTTAACACACTAATAAAGCAGTGTCTTGTGGGAAATGTCCTTCCCATGTTTTTCCTGTAATGTTTGTATTGTCCCGAGTATGTGTACACCTTGATGACTTATTTGTATCATTTCATGTTTCCATGTTGATGGAAATATGTCAGTTCCTGGACTTAATAACACTCTTGATGGTTCCTCATGTTCAGTGTGGAGTTATTATAAATAATACGGTAACAAGCATCTCCCCTGAGAAACAGTCTGACGGGAAGGAAGAATGTGGGGTTTAGAGCGAGAAAAGCCCAGGTTTAAATCTGTGCTCCACCACTTAACTATTTTAACTTGGGGCAGATGACTTACCTGTGGTGAGACAAGTGTTCCTCATTTGCAGTGTAGTAACAGTAGCTAACTCAGGGTGTGTGTCCAGGGTTGAGGTAATTAATACAGAGAATCTGTGGTCATATCTGGTGGCTGCGCCAGTAAAAGGCAGTTTTGGTTTTTTTTTTTTTAGCTCATTTAGCTTTTTTCATATTTTGGATAATTTTTTTTTAGGATGAATTTTTAGAAGAGCAATTATTGGGTCAAAAGTTATGCACATTTTGGGGGCTCCTGGGTGGCTTATTTGGTTAAGCATCTGACTCCTGATCTCAGGGTCATGAGTTCAGGCCCCGCATTAGACTCCGCGCTGGACATGGAGCCTACTTAAAAAAAAAAAAAAGTTGTGAACATTTTTATCCTCCTTAAAAAGTGGTGCACCAGATGGCTTTTGAAAACCGGTGGAGTCCATTTGTACTGTCCTAGTGCTTCGGAGTGCTGGTTTTATTGCTGCCATCCCCATGGCGTATTTTGATTTTAAAATATTTTCGGTGGGGCACCTGGGTGGCTCAGTCGTTAAGCATCTGCCTTCGGCTCAGGTCATGATCCCAGGGTCCTGGGATCGAGCCCCGCATCGGGCTCCCTGCTCCGCGGGAAGCCTGCTTCTCCCTCTCCCACTCCCCCTGCTTGTGTTCCCTCTCTCGCTGTGTGTCTCTCTCTGTCAAATAAATAAAATCTTTAAAAAAATATATATTTTCGATACTTCACTGGGAGAAAAATGACATCTGGTTTTGTAGTTTGCACCTTTGACTACTAGGTCGAATGTTTTTCATTTTTTACCAGTCTTCCCAGAATTGTGTGTTTAATATTTTGTTGAAGATTTTAAAAAATTATAAAGGAGTGTAAGTATACATTTCAAGCCCAACCAGTGTGTGTTTTCATGTCACTGACTTCCATCCAGCACACAGAATTACGTAGCCTTACATGAGTCCTTTAATAAATGTGAGTGTTTATAAGTCATATTTACAAATAAGCCATTTTCTGTCACACTTTTGACATTATGCATCATGATTAGGGAGACCTTCAAATCCTGGTTACTGTCCTTGGTACAAAGACTTAAGGAAATTTAAGCATAGAAAGGGAAGAGAGAAAATAAGTGATGATTGGACAAGAGTGTATATAAGACTTGGGCAGAATCAGCGCAGGATGAAGGTCACGCGCCAGGCGCGAGTCCTGTCTACACTAGACCTGCTGCTTTGTGAGTCGGACTGCCCTCCGTACCGATGGGCATCTGGAGGAAGGACAGCTCCTCCGGTTTGGTTTGGCTCCTCTTCTCCTTGTTCTGTTTTATCTGTGGTTCTCGGGTAATAACTTTCCTTCTTGGTTGAGCTCTCTCTCCTGGTATTTGTTTTGTAGTAAAGTTGGATTTTTTTCCTGCTGACTTTTAGCAAGATTTGTAGCAGTCTGTCAGAATTGGACAGACTTGAGACTTCTGACTCCATGAACTGAATTTTATTGTAAAAAAAGGTGGCAAGCCCCGCAATGTAATACATGTATTATTTGAGTGGTATTGTCAGCTTGATATTGTAGCTGCTGGCTCGGTGGCACAGAATATGGAGGAAAAGAAATAAAAGTAATAATCCAGTTATGTATCCTATGTAGGTAAAGACAGCAGTCAGTTGGGAATTGTGCCACTGTTGTAATTAACGGGCCCTTTGTACTTCCTCATCTTAAAATATATCAAAGGGACATTGCCATACCTCACCTCTAGCTCGGTGCCTTTTATTATAACTTAAACATTAATGCAGCTCTAGGATAGAGATAGAAGCTATTTAATACCAATTAGAAGTTGAGCAAATTCGTATTAAGTATGACTAGCATGGCAGTATGACTTAACTTAGTAAGACTTGTTTTGACATGAGGACTCCTATTCTTTATTCTCAGATAGACTGAGGTAACCCTAATAATCAGGGCTCACTGCATCTGAAATTCAAATGAGTAAATACAAGCTTGAGGTGGCCACTTCGATCTGCTGAAATCTACTTTCACGTTTCTTTTTCTCTATTGTAGAGAGTGAGTTAGGAAGAACTATCTGGGGATAATTATTAATTAGTGATTTAACATTTCTTATGCCCCTTCCCCCTTCCAGTGCTCCCTCAGTTTACCTGTGCACATTGTCCTCCACACGCACACATGCACACATGCATGCACACGCATGTACCCTTAGGACTAAACAGCAGAACTGTGTACAAAAATAACAGAGCTTGAGAGGAGACAGGCATTCCTGCTCCCAAACACGTCCCATAGAACCAGGCCCCTGTGGAGGGCACTGGAGGCCTCCCTGCCTGGGCAAACTAGGGGATGCTGCCGTTCCCTTTGGGTGGTCGGCTTACACTAAAAGGTTTAATTAAATAGCATTTTGCAAATGTTGAATTCAGCACTTTATTCTTGATATATATATATATACATAGGTTAGGTATTTAGCAGAACAATGACTCAAAAGCTTTAAAAAAACGAAATAAATCGTTTTAGTTTTTTATAGTTTGGGGATTTTATTTTCTGATTGTACAGTAATATGTTCTGAAAAGTAAGAAGAAGCAAGCAGAGCCCCCAGCCGTCCTCCTGCTATCTGGGCCATCACAGTATAGTTTGTCATGTTGAGTGACACCTGGAGCCCCCCACAAAAGACTAAATGTCTGTGTTTATGGGATAATTTCCATTTTTATATGTGTGATATAAAAAGATGTAGATTCTGCTCGGTGATGTATAGATGCCAGTTAGGACTTCCCATTTCCCATCTGTCATCTTTAATCCTTGTGTCTCCGTTCGCTGGTTTGAGTTCAGTTTGACACCCGTGGAGAGGTACCTGGTCGGACTTGGTCCCAATCACGGCCTTCCACCGTTTCACAGTGAATGTGAAGTCTGTCCAGTCACGTGTGGTAGTGAATACACCCATGGCTCTTCATTTCTCAGGACATTTGAATGAGCTTTTTCTCCGTTATAGGTTGGTTGTGATCGAAGCCAGAACCTTGTGGGCATCTGTCGAGAGCGGCACTTGGAGGCGCTTGTCGGTGACGCCCTGGCCGTGCCCTTGCGCAGCGGCTCTTGGGACGCCTGCATCTCTATTGCTGTGACTCACCATCTCTCGACGGCCGTGAGTACTGCCCTCTCTCCAGGGACTTGGAGCTCGGTGGCAGGGAACGCTCATGGATGTGGCCGCTGTGGACGTGAGCGTAGCTTTTCCTTTCTTCCCTCTCTCCCCCTGGGGGCCCTGCCATTTGCCCCAGTCCTTGATCGGCGTGGGGAGTGGGGAGGAGGTGCATGGCGCTGGCGCTTGCGGGAGGCCAGGTGCATGGTGCTTTCAGTGCCGCGTGGTTCTGCCCGGGCCTGGCCTGAGTCCACCCCATTTCCGACGGGCTTCCCCGAATCCAGGGTCTCCGCATTTCAGCTGCCAGAGATGGGGGAGCTCGCCAGCCCTGGGCCGCCGCCCTCTCTCAGCCTCGCTTTCTCATCTGCCTTCTCAGCCCTAACTCGCCTCCCTGACGTTTGCGAGTCCCTTCCTTCCCATCCTGCTTTTCTTCTTTTTTCAGAACTTGCTGGTAGTAGTCTGTCACTCATGCTTTTAATTCGTCTTAGATGGTCCTAATTTTAAAATAAGTCAATTTAATGTTTTATATTTTTCTTATAAGAAAAAACAGCTTATTTTTCCTGTTTGTCACTGGTTTCTCCCCTAATGTAAGCAGTAATTTTATAGGTCACCCTGTGCTGACAGCACCAGAAGTCTCCGTACACCCGGCGACCTTATGTGAATTCAAAACAAAATCAAGTCGAAAAACCCTCTATGCCTCTATTTTATTAGCACAAATAGAAATGTCCTTTTCCCTGTTTCTTCAACACTTTTTTCCCCCTCAATCACAGAACAAAATTTCCCTTTTTTTTTTTTTTTGTTTTATATTTTGTTAGATTTTCTGGGCTGTTCAACTTAATTAAAACCAGTGATACTGGGCGCCTGGGTGGCTCAGTCGTTAAGCGTCTGCCTTCAGCTCAGGTCATGGTCCCAGGGTCCTGGGATCGAGCCCCGCATCGGGCTCCCTGCTCCGCGGGAAGCCTGCTTCTCCCTCTCCCACTCCCCCTGCTTGTGTGCCCTCTCTCGCTGTGTCTCTTTGTCAAGTAAATAAATAAAATCTTTAAAAAAAAAATCAGTGATACTTTTGTCAGTTATACTTTCCTGTTTGCTGTGTCTCCTCTCGGTTGATAAAGGGCAACATTTTTTTTTCACTAGGAGCGTAGAGTGGCGGCTCTCCAAGAACTTGTTCGACTCCTGAGACCTGGGGGGATGGCACTCATTTACGTCTGGGCGATGGAACAGGAATATAAGAAGAAGAAATCCAAGTACCTTAAAGAGAACAGACTTCACCAAGGAAAGGAAGAGGAGATCCACAGCGACGCAGCGGAGCCAGGGTCGCTGGGGGAGCAGGTGCCTGACGCGGGCGGCCAGGACGCCCCGTGTCGAGTCTCCGCCGTTACCGACGTCCGGGCGGGAGAGGGTAGTGCCAGCAAAGTCACTGATGCCAAGCTGCCTGTTCACACTAACAGGACTTCTTTTCGTTCTCAAGACTTACTGGTTCCCTGGCACCGTAAGGGGAACCCTGGGAGAGACGAGCCTGTCGGTGCGACAGAATCCCGTGCCCCAGGCCCCGTGTTTCATCGTTACTACCACGTGTTCTGTGCAGGCGAGCTGGAGGAGGCCTGCCGGACCCTGAGTCAGGTCCGCGTGCTGCAGAGCTACTATGATCAGGGCAACTGGTGTGTGGTTCTTCAGAAGGTCTGACTGTCGCCGTGAACATAGGTGCAGGGAAGGGAGGCTCAGCTTGGTCCTTGAAAGGACACTAAACTTACTGTCTTTTTCGTTAAAGAGAAATCTCGTGGAAAAGTACCAAAGGGGCATGCCTGAGAGAAATTCGGGAGCAGAGATTAGTTAGGACAAATCCAGTCTACTACTATGGCTGACCTCATTTTATCCATAAATGTAGGCTTCTCCTGAATGGGGAGGAACAGGGCCAGTTTGTAGAAGTGAGTGAAGTAGTCTGTGAAGTATTTGGGATCCTGGGGCAAGAATACAGCACGTTGAAGATAAACTTCTGCTATACATGTTACTAATTGAGCTAAGTCACGTAGAATCTTAATGATGTAATCGTACAACATTTTAATAAAGAAAATATTCTTGGTCAGTAGAGAACTGTCTGAAGTTTTATCTCATTATTAACGCTGTAAAATCACTGTTGATAACCACTCTGTCCCCTCACCTTACTAACACAGGGCTTGACACATAGTAGGTGCCCAGTAAGATTTTAGTCCATCAGATAATAGCCACACCTCAGTTAAGAGCTTCATCCAACAAATCCTCATCGAACCCCTACTATGTATCAGTTACTATTGTAGGGCCTGGGAGTGGAGCAGTGAATAAGAATAAAAGCTCTTGCCCTTCTGGAACTTCGTGGTAGAAGGAGGACAGACAATAAGCCAATAAACAGACACTGTGTGCTAGACATGGGGGAGAGTAAGATGAGAGTGGGAGCGTGAGAACAAAAGAGTTATTTATTTTATTTATTTAATTTATTTATTTTTATTTTATTTTATAAATTTTAAAGATTTATTTATTTTATTTATTTGTTTTTAAAGATTTTATTTATTTATTTGAGAGAGAGAGCATGAGAGGGGGGAGGGTCAGAGGGAGAAGCAGACTCCCTGCCGAGCAGGAAGCCCGATTCGGGACTCGATCCCGGGACCCCAGGATCATGACCTGAGCCGAAGGCAGTCGCTTAACCAACTGAGCCACCCAGGCGCCCAAAAGAGTTATTTTTAAAGGGCTGAGATAACCACTAATCCTGACTGTAGTTATTACCAAGAATTAATTGGTACCCCTAATGCATTGAGTTAGGTGCTAAAGGCAACCCCAATATGCTCTTGTAACTCCTTTGTTTAAATAGCAAAAGTTAGACTTGTCAGTCAGACCTAATTATGCCCATAGAGCCAAAGCTATGGTGTCACTATTGGGTATTTCTGGTCCATTCATAGTTTGTTCTAGTCTGGGTGCAATCAGCAGTCTTTACCCACAACTATGTCATAGTGACTCAGTTAACTTACCATTTAGGTCAAGTTTCCAGGAGGAACAAAGGTAGAAAGTTGACCATAGGTCAAAACGATCACGCAGAAAGGAAAGGACTTTTTTTTTTTTGAATACTTTACTGCCGGCGTATGTTGCTTTATAGTCGTAATGCTTAAGACGACTTCAAGAAAAATTGCTTTCCATGAATGATGATGCCCAGACGATTGTATCTCTTGTTAGTGTTAGTGATGTTTATTTTCAAGCATCAAGCTTCCGGAAACTGGTGGTGATCAATAGGTCTTAGGTGAGATGATGATTATTTTTGTCATGGAATTTCACTACAGGATTATAATTGTTCCCTCCAGATGAGTTTATAAGGTTCATGATATGGAAAGGAAAAATAGACGGCTAAAAGGCAGTTTTAATCTGATAGAAATTCTAGGACTTCATATCGCAATTTGAAGTTCAGCTCATGCTAATACATTTTTATTTATTTATTTATTTTTTAAAGATTTTATTTATTTATTTGACAGAGAGATAAAGAGCACAAGCAGGCAGAGTGGCAGGCAGAGGGAGAGGGAGAGGCAGGCTCTCCACTGAGCAGGGAGCCGGACGTGGGGCTCGATCCCGGGACCCCAGGATCATGACCTGAGCTGAAGGCAGCCACTTAACCGACTGAGCCACCCAGGTGCCCCGCTAATACATTTTTAAACTCTGGATGGAATTGATGATTTCCAAGGAAGATGCAAATACCAACATTACCTCGAGAAGAGGTAGAAAACAGCATAGGAGTTCAGAACTTGACTCTTGGATCAGATTTGAAGTTGAACTCTTGATCTGCTGTTTTTTTAGCTCTGGGACTCTGGACAAATTCCCTAACTTTTCCATGCTTCAGTGTCTCAGCTGTAAAGTTGAAAGATTTGTTATGAAATTAGCTGAAATAATACTTACAGAGCTGGTACAAAAATATAGTAAGCATTTGGGGAAAATGTTTTATTACTGTTACTCCCGAAGAGAGCCCACAGGAGATTTAGGTATTGAGTGATGTCAAATCTAATTTGTTAATTGTATAATCAAAACCTATGTTTTTACTGATTTTTTTTTACCTGCTTTGTTCTTACCAGGTGCAACAGATGAATCAAAATTTCCCGCTATGATTGTGGATTTCTCTATTTGTCCTTTTAGGTCTGTCAATGACAAGGCAAAACTGGAAAAAATCGAAATGTCCATCCGCAGTAGAGTGAGTAAATAATGGTCAATTCATTGTTACTGCATGAGTGACGACAGTGAATAAACTGTCCTTACAAGGTACTTTATGAGTGGATCTCAGACACATAATGCTGCGTCAAAGTCGTAATAACCATACGACTCCTGCAGAGTTCAGATGTGTCTCTTAAGACCACCTTCGCTTCTGGCGCCAACTGCCAGTTTGGAGGGGCTCCCACCAGCACCCTCGGGTTTGATAATTTCCTAGAAATGCTCACAGAACTCAGAGACTGATATACTCATGACCATAGTTTATTATAGCAAAAGGATACAGATTAAAGCCAGCCAGGGGAAGAGGTGCATGGTGCCAAGTGCACGAGCATTACTCGCATGGAATTTCCAGTCGTCCACTCCCAGTGGGATTTGGACAGAGCTGACTTCTCCCAGCAATATGACAATACACCTGGAGTGTTGCCAGCCAGGGAGGTGCCCCGGAGGCTCGGTGTTCAGTGAGGGCCTAACTTCCACGGACAGGGTTGACCACACCTGCTGCTGACCTTTAATCGCTAGCTCCTCTGGAGGTCAGGCTGATAACCACTGGGCCCAGGGCCCCCAGGTAAGCAGATACTTCTCAGGCAGGGTATTGCAAGGGCTTAAGAGATCAGCTTCCAGGAGCCTAAGGCAAAGGCCACACCTCTTTTTGGATAAGGTTAACTCTATACTACACAGTTTTCTTGAGGTGAGAGTTTAAAAAAAAGCAATATTCTACTTTTACAAGACTAGATAATAGTGAACTTTCAAAAAGAAGGAGTGAGTGGGCCTTCTGGGTGTTCACAGTGTTCTTTCTCTGGGGGGCATTTACATGGGTGCTTGCTTGGTGTTAACTCACTCACTACTGAGTGTGTGATAAGACCCTTATGATTTGTATACCTTTATGTGTAATATAAACTTCAAAATTCAAAACAGTTTGGGGGCATCTAGGAGGCTCAGTCGGTTAAGCGTCCGACTCTTGATTTTGTTTGAGGTCATGGTCTCAGGTCATGGGATCGAGCCCCGTGTTGGGCTCTGCGCTCCGTGCAGAGTCTGCTGGTCCCTCTCCCTCTGCTCCTCCCCTACTCACACTGTCCTCTCTCTCTCTCAGACAAATAAGTAAATAAATAAAATCTTTTCAAAAAGAATTTAAAACAATTTGTAAAAGAAAGTTCAAAAGACAGAGTTAAATGTTTCAAATAAAATATTTTTATGTCAGCTTCTATGAGGCATAGTTTGCATATAATATTAACTGATTTTAAGTGTATAATTTGATGAGTTTTGACTCATTGCAACAGATAGTCATGTGATCATTCCCACACTCAAGTTAGAGAACATTTCCATCACCCTATAACTTTCCTCCTGCCCCTTTGCAATCGGTTCCCCCTTGTGGCCAAGACTGATCGGCCTTCTATCGCTATACTTTCGCCTTTTCTAGAATTTCTGGAATCATACACTTGTAGACTTTTATGTCTTTTTTTTTTCCACTCAAGATGGTACTTTTGAGATTCATCTTTGTTCTGGCATATATCAATAGTTTGTTCCTTTTATTGCTGAGTAGTATTCTATTGTAAAGATTTATCGCAATCTGGTTATCCATTCACCAGATGATAGACATTTGGGCTATTTCCAGTTCAGAACTTGTAATTTTTTTAAGGCTGCTCTGAACATTTAGGAGCACATTTGTGTGTCTATATGTTTTCATTTCTCTTGGGTAGATACCTCAGAGACGAATCCTGGGTCATATGGCAAGTGTATGTTTAACCTGACGCCAGCAAACTTTTCCAGAGTGGTTGTTCCAGTTTGGTAGCCCATCGGCCACGTCTGAGAGTTCAGTGACGCCACATCCTTGCCAACACTTGTGTTATCAGTCGTTTTAGTATTAGCCATTCTACTGTGTGTGTATAGTGGCATCTTTCCATATTTTTAATTTGCATTTCCCTAAACACAAGTGATATGGAGCATTTTTACATTATTTGCTATTTGTAGGTAGTCATCGGTGAAGTGTTGGTTCAAATCTTCTGTCAGTTTTTAAAAATTGAGTTGTCTTCTCTTTAATGAGTTATATAAGTTATATATATTCTAGATAAAGGTGCTTTATCATACATATATTTTGCAAGCATTTTCTCCCAGTCTGTGGCTTGCTTTTTATTTTCTTAGGAATGTCTTTTGAAGAGCCAGCATTTTAAATTTTGATGAGACCCAATTTATCCATTATTTTTTTAATTTTATAGGTTGTGCTTTTTGTGTTCTATTTAAGGAATTTTTGCCCAACTCAGATCACTAAGATTTTCTCTTATGTTGTAATTTAGAAGTTTCATAGCTTTAGCCCTTACATTTAGGTCTCTGATCCATTTCAAATTAATTTTTGTATACATGTTGTGAGGGTTGGCTTACTTTTTTGCATGTTGCTATCCAGTTGTTCCAACATCATTTTGAAAAGATTATTTTTTTTCCCCCAAATGAATTGCTTGACACCTTTGTGG